CTGGGAACCAGCAGAGCCAGCTACTGACTGGGAACCAGCAGAGCCAGCTACTGACTGGGAACCAGCAGAGCCAGCTACTGACTGCCTCAAGAGCTATCGGTGTCTTCATGAAACCACCAGTGTTGCAAGACCTTTCTCCAAAAAGGAGAAAGAACAACAAACTTTTCTGTAGTAGATTTGGGGGTGTTCCTGTGGGGATTCACTAAGTATTCACTTAAAAGCAAGGATGTGAAAAGTAGTCAATGCTAAAACAGCTTTTTTACGTTCTGAGAACATCAGCAGGGCCCACTAGGTGCCCTTCGCTGACTTTGGTTGTGGGCACATAAGCAGTTGGGGGTGATCTTTGAAATTCAAGGCATGTTTAATCACTGGTGTCTGGGGAAATTGCTTTGTTTCCTGCTTTTCCTTCATTTACAATTTCCTAATTTCGTCTTCACAAACTTGAGGGTTTATGAGAGAATGGAGAGAAGTGCTTACTTTGGGGGTTTTGATGTTTACAGTGCTAGAGGTGAACTCCATAGCTTACAGCATGAACAAGAGCAAGGACTCAAGTCACTGAGCCTGCCTCCAGCCTGAGGGGTGTTCTTGTCATCCACATATGAGCTTAGAGATGATCTCTGTGACTGACTGGACTTGTGACAATAGTGCCAGGTTGGGCCAGGCCAAGGACAGGAAGGTTGCCTAGGGTTTAGGCTCAGTGATGTACAGGGGACAAAGACTTGAGAAAGAAATGGTAGAAATCAAGGCCAGTGTCGGCTACATAGCAAGACTTTGTAAAGTAAGCTATTGCCTGACAGGTGGCACACTTTTAATCTCAGTACTTGGGAGGCAGAGATAGGTGGATCTCTTGAGTTTGAGGCCTCTCAGGGCTATACAGATAAATCCTGTCTCAAAAAACTAAAAAAAAAAAAAAAAGTGTTAAGTATAATCTTAAAAAGAGCCTCTCCGCCCACACAAAATAACTCCAATTAGAACAGATTAGACCAAATCAAAGATGCCCACATTTAATGAATTCAGTGTTCCTAGGTGATTGGGAGCATGACAGGAAAGACAGACCATGCCAAACCGAAAGACTGTGTGTTCCTTTTTCCAGCCTAAATATCCTGTGGGAGTGGTCCTGAGCCTCCCTGGGGTTGGCGCTTGCCTGGCTTTCTGGGAGGTAGAGTCTGACCCAAGGCAACTCCCAGGGGGAGAGTACTTGAGATGTAGCATTCTGCTCCACTGGCGCCCCTATGATAGATGCCACGGACTGGGGTAACATTTTCTTTTTTTTTTTTTAATTTATTTATTGTGTATATAGTGTTCTGGACACCAGATCTCATTATAGATGGGTGTGTGCCACCATGTGGTTGCTGGGAATTGAACTCAGCACCTCTGGAACAGCAGCCAGTTCTCTTAACCTCTG